AATTCAAAAGTAAGTATGCAGAAGTTTGCAGTACAATCATAAAAGAAAATAAAAATCTCAAAGTAACATTAATTTGATTCTACGTAACAAAGTCTCTTATGTCAGTTTAAGACTTTAGTTAATTGTTCAAATCAACATTATATACAATAATTAATGAAAATAATAAGTATAGTAGAAATTATAAATGAGGATAATTTTCTGTTGTAATTTCTCTCTAGTCTAAAAATTGTGTCCTTATTTAGCAAGTCATAGAAAAGCTAAATGTTGAAACCTTACATTATAAGGAACCCAAAAGTACAAATTATAAGATTATATATAGTATTATAATCCAAGAATAATTTCCATACTGAATTAAATTCTGCATCAGATTTGTTTTTCAAATATAAAATTATATTTGATTTCCACAATTTAATTTTCTATTTTTTTGTAGAAGGGATTATATATAATTTCTAATGAGGAACATAGAGAGAAACAGAAGTAACTGTATATAAGCCTAGTACAATACATTTTATGAGAATATAAGGTTTGGTAATATTTAAGAGAATTCAACCTCAATTATTGGTTTTATAGTAGATTTATTTTTTTATATTGCTTTGTAGAATTCCACCAACTATGAAAAAAAGTTCTGATTATTGCTGTTTTAACAATTTTATAGAATGAAATATCTATCTTAGCAATCAGGACTGGAATAGTATATGAATAAAATCTTGTACCAGTTTTCCCAAGTGAAAAATTCACTGATGTTAGATTTCTTCCATTGATATTCCCATTACTGAAAGTCAATTGTTTTGTTTAAATTCTTCATCCATTTAACATACAGTTTTTGACTTTTCAGTTTTTGAATTGTATTTCAACATCAATTTATCTACAAACCTCAACATATTTTGAATTGTGTTGAATTTTGTTTTGAATTCTGTTTGATACATTTTTCAATACAACATTCAATAGTTTTAATTTTTTGTGATATATTTTTCAAATTCAGTCAGGCCTCAAAATGTTCCATTATGTTTTGTAATTTCTTTAACACTATAGTGCTTATTTGAGATCTTGAAACCAGTAAGGTGATCAATTGTTGCAGTCCTCAATGAAGCCTTTTTATAGAAAGTACTCTTCAAATTCTCTGAATTTTTCTTTTGCACTTGCAAAATGAGAGGTACACAGACTTCACCTTGCCTAGCTCCCAGAGTGAGTTAGCCACATTAATGGTTAAATGCCATTAATATGCAGATTTTGTCATGCCCATAGGAAGTACCAGATTAATTATAGGCTACTCATACGCATTGTTGCATTCATGTTCTCTAGTGTAAGAAAAGAAGCACAATATAAGAAATACATGGCTGTTAATCACCTTGAATCTGGCCCTAATGACCAGGGTGGCCAGATTTCAGGATGGTGTAGTAGTGAACAATTGTAGTCATGTGGGGGGGGGCTTCTTTCTTTCACTTTGTAGGCTGCCATCTTCATCCCATCTCCAAATTTAATGCTGTTGCTCAGGAATTTTGCAGGTTGGTTTAAATATCTGGGATGCAAAGCAAAGAATTAGAAGAGTTTTCTGCTCATATAACTAGATTTCTGGTGAGCTATATATGCACAATTCCAGTCATTTAATTCTTTATCCTTACATGCATTCCAAGGCCATTCTAGAAATTTCCTCTTCTTTACAAGGTAGATTTCAGTGGTACCTCAGGCATTAGTACAAAAAGAACCAAAACAGCAACTCTGACCTTCTGAAAAATTCCATTTCACATGCAGAGTGTGACCATTGAGTATAACCTGTAATGTGTCATACATAGTCCATAGTATTGTCCAGCAGCAAGAGGGTAGGGAAGTAAGGGAGGCAACTCATGAATAAATAAAACATTTTCTTTTATCTACACATCTAACATACTTGTAAAAGGCAAGAGAGAAAACAGGTTGGGGAAAGGTAAATATGAGTTGCCAGATTGTATCGCTGCCTTAGCTATTTCTCTTACAGTTTTTCATTGTTGCAAAGAATCACAACACTATTTTGTTTTTTCATAATAGCTAATCAGAATATGAAATAACAGGGTGGCCAAACAAATGTGCAAACCCAAAATTATTTGTATAATAAAATAAAATGACATTTTAGTTAAAAATATCAGTTAATATGAAAGAACATTTACATTTTATAGTATTTTACTCTTATTGTATACATTTGGTTGCATTGTTTGATTCTTTTTAACATTGAAAGCTGCAAGCAGAGTCACCTTGTGGTTGAGTTGGGTGACAAATAAATTTAATGAATAATTAAACAAACATAATGCAAAGATATCATTCTCTTTCTGTTACATTAGTTTCCTGTGCAATGAGAATGACATTTTGTAAATATCAGCTTAAGAAATCCAAGTGTAGAATCATATCAATATACAGGCCTGTGTTAATTATTGAGTAAAAGAACAGTAGACAAAGTTCTGTGAAATGTCATAAGAATCCAAACTGGGCAGGAATTGTAAGGCAGGTCAAGTTCTGAATCATTTGCTTTACTAAACTGGGTACATCAGGACATTAGTCCTCTTTGGGAAAAGACAAACAGATGGAGGTATTTGGAGCAGCTAAATAGCATGTGACTAAGATTTCAGATATCTTTGGAATGTGACTGTTGTGGACAACTCCACAAGCAGCGTCAGAACAATTATGCCATGTCCTGTGGCCCACATGCTAAACTACTACATAATGGGGCACGTCCCATGAAGGTCTGTTAATCAGCTATAACAAATATTACATGCTTATATTGGGGAAATGGAAAATGTAAATGTATTGCCATAGTTTAGGTCCATTTACATCACTTGACACATAATTGTGAAAATGAATGTAAAATGTTGGGGCGAGAAGAAATCAATAAAGAACTTTCCTGAATGAAAAAAACAATAAATATTATGAAACATATATATCCAGTCTTCTCCCAGGAGCAATTAAACTGATTTGTATTTTATAACTTTTGAAGACATTAACTTCTTGCTAAACTAGAAGGTAGGTATTCAATTGACCCTAGAAGATTCCCTGACAAAATGACCACTTAGAACCCAGTAAGTAGCTGTGTTTAAAAAGTGAAAAATAGAATGGGGTTTACAACTTTCTCAATCCGTTGTTGCTACCATGCTAAGGCACTCCTAAAGTCACCTAGAACTCCCAAGATTTTTTGCAAATGACAAATACGTGGCTTTAGAAACATGTTCTATTTTATTTTATTTTATTTTTAATTTAATTTAATTTTTATTCTTTGCTTAACCCTGGTTACTACACTTTAAAACATATATAAGATGCTAGATTGAGAATTTTAATCAGTTTGTTCTCTTTGATTTTAGATAGATATATGTAAAATGGTATTAAATGGCATTAAGATTGCTATCCAGGTGATGCAAGGTTAAAATGTCCTCATGCCTCTAAAGTATTTGTCTAACTACTTTAGAACTACTGACGGAACATCATTTCTGTTAGGTAATTTCTCCTTTTTTGTTTATCTGTATCAACCTAAATTAGAAGGCTAATTTAGTGCAATTTCTCTAGGGAGAATACTTATTCCTCAGATATTCATGTTCTTGGAGACATAACAGACAACATGAAAAAGGCTGAAAGCCAAAGCAATGCTTCCACTCCACACTATCCAAGGTCACCAGCACTGAGTGCCCGCAGCATGACTATTGACTATAGCCGGGTAAGTTGATTGGTGCAAAAAGAGATTGGTTTGAGAAATAATTGCTTCATAATGACAAATCTAGAATCTGGATTTACTTGTTTTGCTCCAGTCTTTTGAGTATTGGACAGAGAGATGGTGGAGAAAGCAAACTGAGATTGACTTGATAGTCTTAATTTATTTGTGTGCATTCTAAGATGATTCTGGCTTATTTCTTACATGTTTAACAAATCATGATTAAAGCAAATTCTGAGTAACAACCATTTTGAACAAACAATGAAAAGTTAAAATTATTGGATTGAACTTGTGGGGATTTGCTTCAAATACAACTAGTGTATTTTCATATGTTAAAAAGTTTTCTTATATGTGTGATTCATTAAATATATGTTATTTTATGTGAACAGGATTCTGAATTAGAAAACAACATTGTTATGTCTATCAGTGAAAGTATCCCTGCAGATCTGTCAAAAAGGCATCGTAGGAAAGGATCTAGAACACCTTCTGTGGCAATTTCTAGGACATCTTTATCATCTGGTGAGCTTTCACTTACTGATACTTTGATGTACTTGTGAATTGCTATCACTACACCTTTTCATTGTTTAGCTTGTTTTTTCTCCCATGTTTTTTTTTCTCTTGGGGATTTTTTTTTTTAGAATTGCTAAGAATTAGCCTTTTGTCATTCTAGATCAGAAATGCAGAGCTTCTATCAATTCAGGGTTATATTGACAAATGCAGTTTGGAAGAGGAAAGGGAGGGAGTTTAGATTGGATTTTGTGAGGTGGTCTCAAGGGTGAAATGGATGTCCTATAATATTCCTGCAAGCTTTACTGCAAAAAAGACAAAGAGCGACCGACCGACCGACCGTATTTTTGGCTTACCTACTCTGTTGTGATTGCAGAGACCATCAAAGGATAATGATGGGCTGCACGTTTCGTAGTTCTGATCTGGATCCTGGTGCAGTATTGTTTATTTGATTCCCAGTGGCTCTTCAGGCATAGGTCACCTGCTGCCTGATTCTTTTTCAACTGAAGATGAATAGGGCTGAATGGAACGTTCTGCTTTAAAATGCACACTTTATTGTAGAACTGTGGTTCTTTCCCTTTAATGAAGAAATCACTACGTGTCTGTCATAATTATTCTTAAAACAAAGATGAGGGTTTTTTTATAAACATCTGTAAACTTTAGCCTTTGCTGATCATTTCTTCTCTAAATTTTATTCAACACTTTTATATGCATAGCAATTGGATGAAAGATACATCTTAATAACTGTTTCACTTACTAAAAATAGATTGCAGGAGTGTTAGAGACTCAACTTGCATGACATACATTTTCCCTCTACTTGTTTGATTTTCCAAAGAATGAAAAAAAAGAAAAACACCACTGAATTTCTTCCTGTAATCTGTTTTTTTTTGTTCTTGAATTTTATCTTTTCTGTAGGTTTTAGGCAAAGAGGAAATTGATGGGTAAAAACAAGAAGTTGTGGAAAAATAGATAAATAGTCCGTCATACAAAAAAGTTAAAAGATACAATATCTTCTGTATAGATTGCTAATACACTATATATGGCTTTGACTTATATTTTGCAGATCGTAGTAGATCAGAGAGAGATCTCAGCGGATCCTTTTCAGAAGGAAATGAAGATACTTTAAGCTTAAGAAGTAAATCTGTACCTGGAGCACTGGACTGTGATGTGGTGAGCTAGAAAGATACAAAGTTTACAAATTAGAATATTTTGACTTTTTTATTTTATTTTGATTTGACTGATTCCAGTAATTCATATGTATGTCACAGTTTATATCAAAAGTACAAAAATAGTTAATGAGTTGCCTTCATATAGTGAGCTATGGCAGCAGTACATGTATTTTGCAAACTTCCATCTATCTGATATCTGCACATAATCTCTTGCTTCTCCCTCTATGGACACAACCTGAACATTTTACAGATCTTTAGCTAAATGTGCCTTTGAGACTTGTTCTCATCTGTCTATCGAAAGGGAAGACGTTTCTGAACAAGGATCAGCTTCATACTCAGTTTCTACCTCCACTTAGTTATTACCACCACCTGTGTCACCACCTTTTTGTCCTCCTTCTATCATAGTACCATAAAGTGAGCACATGAAACAATTAAGCAAAAATGTGAATGTACTTGATTTGTTTTTCCCCTTGAAGCACAGCTTCAGTGTTTGGCCCAGCCAGAGATATCAAACAAGGAACCACTGTCAGCACTTGCTTTGTCTTTTGAAGTGAAGGGTGGCAGTTGGCAGCTGCCTAGCAGAACACAACATTTTAATACAGAATGGAACTGGCAGCTGCTCCATGTCTAACAACCACAAGAGCAATTGCATGGGGCTTTCAGTCTTGGCAGGCAGAGGGGAGCATTTCCCTTCAGTTTTCCATCTTTGCAGTCTCAGCAGAGCTTCAGCTTGGCTTATAAAAGGATCAGCCACACTAGGGGACACAGTTTAAATAACTGTGTGTAATGAAACCTTTTTCAGTATAATTTGTAAGGGAGAGTTTCAGCTGTTATTGTTAAGTATGATGGGCTAGATGTTCACAATAACTGGTGAGATCTCAAACACTAAAATGTTCTTAAAGAGAAAAAGTGAAACAGGGTAAGATACTGAAGTTAAGGTAAATGGTTTTATTTAAAAAGCAACAGAAGATAACATTTTCCCTGTTTACTCCTTCACTCACCCCCTTCCTAATTCAATATCATTTGATTCCTTAACGGTGGATGTATGCTTTGGTTTCCCATTAGGACTACCTGAATGAAGCAGAAGAGGATATGGATGACATTATAGCCTCTGGCTTTTCAAAAAGGCAAAGTAATTTGGCAAGTGGATTTTCCACAGTAAGTTCCTATTAAATGCATATGCATGCCTTCCTTTTACAATTTTTTCCTACAGTATATTAGGTTTTTCATACATAGACCATGTTCCTTTCTAATATATTTTATTCTGTTGTATTTCATTCCATGGCTGATTTTTAGCTTCAGTTCTCCTGTTTTGGTAGATTAAATGCCATTGCCATTATTTGGATTTTAGAGACTTTAATTTTTGTTCAACAAAAGCACTATTATGCACTTAGTTTGATGGATATAGCCAATAGTTATGAATATACAGTAACTACTTTTTGTCTATTTATAACTGGGGATTACAAGAAGTTTCAGCTATGTTATTGAAGTTTATAAGAATTAGTCCAACATGTCAGGAGGGCATAGGGTAGGGCCTAGTTCATCAGGCTGATGAAATCTGGATCCAATCATTATTTTCCTTTTGTGTTAGAAAGAAGATTGTACATTACACATATTAAGCAAATAACAGCTTAACATTTAAGATAGCACTATTATGGTTGTTGTTGTCATTATTATTAGATAAAATCCCTCCTTTATTTTGTAAAAGCCAAGGCAGTGTATATAGTTCTCCTCCTTCCTCTTTTCCTCATAACAACCACTTGTGAGGTCGGTTAGACTGAGAAAGAACATCCAGTCCAAAGTCACATAGCTAGTTTTCATGCTTCTGGAAGGACTAAAATTCATTTTCCCACCTTCCAGTCAAGTACCCTAACCACTACACCAAACTGTGGATAATTTCACTTGATGCTTGGCAAGTAAATTATTTGTTGGCAACTAGCAAGTAGTATAATTACTATAGTAATTACAGCATTTAAGTATCTTGCATTCTAAGGAATTTTAAATGGTTGATTAAAATACATTAGCTACAGATTGCTGGTATGTGGGTAGATAGATATCTGCCTTTGATAACAAAATGTTTTTATCCAAATATTTCTATAATACTGCAAAAGGAAAATGAGTGCTCAGCCTAAGGTTAAATTCATTGTTGGAGAGATAACATAATTTCTTGTATACCTGTCTCTATAAATGGGGGTTATTTACTAGTCACTTTTCTCCATACAGTAGTTTGTGTCTTTTCTTTATCCATTTTTACTTTCTCAAACTGTTCCTTGAATTTCTATATCCCTATTGGTGCTACATAATGCTCTTCTTTCCTTTGCCTTTTGCCTACCTAATAAAGAATTCTCCTTCAAATTCTGAAAGGAAATGGAACTACTTAAATGTTCCAGAAGCAGATGGTGATACTGTAAGTTCTCTCAATTTTCTGATGCATGCAAGAGCTCATCTCTGTTCCTGTTTCATGTCTGCATATATAAATAGCAAAAACAAATGTCTTTAAATTGATAATAATTGCTCCATTAAGTCACTGGCTGACAATAACAGTGTCATAGTCTTAAAAGTTAGAATTCTGTTTTGTAATAGAAACATATATGGAGAAGTAATTTTTCTATTCATTCAGATTATTTGAATGGAGGATAACATAGAATCATAGATTGTAATGGACCATTTAGGCTTCCAGGTCCAACCTCCTGTTCATTGAATGAAAGCATCAAGGAATGATGGCTCTCTAGCCTTTGCGTGGAAACATTCAGTGAAGGAGAACCAACCAACTCTCTGAGGAATATCAGACTGGACGCTTTCTCTGTCTCCTACAGTATTGTGCAACCAAAATCTGTGTTCCTATCAATTAAGTCCATTATTCTATATCCTACATTCTGGAATGGCAGGACCCTTGTGTGTGGCATCCTTTTAGGTATTTGAAGGGTGCTGTATATCCTTCTTTAACCATCTTTTGTCAAAGTGAAACAAAACAAGTGTTTCAATTTCTCTTTATGAGGTTTTGTTTTTAATTCCATGATAATCTTCATTGCCTTTTATTGATCAGCTACAGCTTATCTAAATCCTTGTTTAAGTGTAGTGTTCAGACTGAGATTGTTGAAGCAGAGGGCAACAATAATTTCCTGTGGACTTGCAAATGATATTTCTGTGGATGCAAACAAATGGCATTGCACTTGCCTGCTTTGCCACTCTATTATACAGCTATCATTTGTAATCAACTAGTGATAAAAAAAACTTGTATTGCAACGATTATCAATAAGTTAGGTATCTCCCTTCCTATAATCCTGCATTTGGTTTATGTGTCTGAAATGAAAACCATCACATTGTTCTCTTTTACATTTTGTTCTGTTATATTCAGCTCGTTTCTCCAATCTGTCAGGGTTATTTTTAATATAACTTCTCTCTTCTTGGCTGTTAGCCATTTCACCCATTTTTGTATCATTTCCAAATATGATAAATATTCCCCACACCTCTTAATCTAAATAATTAGTGAAAATATTGAAACGTAGAGGACTCAGGACTGATCCAGGACTGGCACTGCTTGATATCTTCATCTGATCTGATGAGGGGTCATTACTGATTTTCAGGCCAGCTATATATTTCCTTCTCATGAGTGCCATCCAGATCAGAATGTGCTAATTGGCATATCTTGGTGGTCCTCATCTTATGACCACCACTGGGACCGGACTACCATCACCAAGCAAGTTGGTTGTTAAATGAATTGCATCTGATTTTGCAACCTTTTTTTGCCACAGCTGCTTCAGCAAATGTGTAATACCACATTGACTTTGCTTGTCAGAAGCTAGCTGGGAAGGTTGCAAAAGGTGATCATATGACGTCAGAACACTGCCAACTGTTGTAAATACAATAAGATTTTCAAGTGCCTGAATTTTGATCACATGACTGTGGAGATACTGCAGTGTTGTAAGTGTGAGGACCAGTCATAAGTCACTTTTTTCAGCACTGTCATAGCAGTTGCTAAACAGTTAAGTCGAGGATTATCTGTATTTGTTCAAATGTTTTGCTGAAGGTAAGATATACTACAACATATTATCAGTTAAAGAAGTTATTTAATTAAAAACATAAGTAAGTTATTTTGGAATTAAAATACTAAATTGGGCACTGAAGTCTCCATCCATGGGTTTACTGGATGAATTTAGGATAATCTCGGAGCTTAATTTTACAGATGTGCATGTATGCGAGAACTGAGTAAGACACTTTGACTTGTTTGAACAAATAAAATAAAATGGGTATGTTTCTTCAACAGGATATTGAGATTGAATTTTGCCATCAACCAACCCATGATATCATATTGGTTGAATCGTCTGCAGTATAAAAATGGCTAATTCTATTTCTCTTTAGTGAGATGTTTCCCTAATAGAAATGACTGATTAGTATATGAATATCACTCAGTTTGATATAGGCTTCCTGTCACTGTCTCTTTTTCAGGCCAGCATTAACAGTACGATGAGTGTTTACAGTGAAACTGGGGACTATGGCAACGTGAATATTAGTGGTGAAATTTGTCTGCAAATCAGCTACAGCTATAAAACAGGAGCCCTTAATATACTTGTAAAAAAATGCAAAAACTTGGCCATTGCTGATGAAAAGAAACAAAGAACAGATCCGTAAGCAAATCTCTCTTTTTTAAACTAAACTTCTATTTATTTACTATCCTAGTTATGTTTGCTTGTTAGATTTGCCTTCCACAGATCTACTGTTTAGGACAGTAGAATATCATATTCTTATCATTGTGCTGGAGTTTGCAAAATGTGAAAGACAGCATGAGTTTCTCCTATCTTCTTATTGAAGCTTTACTTTAAATGAGATAAGAGCCATGTCATTTTTAGTCCTTGAAAAGTTTGAGAAACTACAGTTGCTTCAGTTGGTGAAATCTAGAATCAGCTCAGGGAGATGGGCAGCATAGAAGTTTAATAATAAAATAAATAAATCTGGAGATGGTGAACTGGTATGAACATTTTTCCAGTTTGATAACTTCAGTGCTACACTGCCTGTGAGAAAAGACTTAATTTTGGTGAAATGAAAAACCCATGTTTACTGCTAAATGCCTTGTGCTGATATTCTTACTTCTCTTATCCTAAAGACTTTCCAATTAGAAAATACAAATTTAAATTCTGATTGTCAACTGACCATAATTCTCTGCAATGTTGTTCTGGCAAGTGTAGTGTGAATTCAGTAACAATTAGTAAACAGAAACCAGAGTGGAACAATTGTTCCTTAGTTTTTCTTTAAAATTATAACTGTAAAAATTAATCAATTTAAGGAAGAAGCTGAATTTTTCTGTCTTCTCCTGCCCAAAAAGTAAATGGTGGGGAAATGAGAGGATTATAGCTTTTCTTCCACATTCTCTGGCAAATAGAAGGCTCTTTGAGAAGAGATTTCTTTCAGTGCACTAAGATTGGAGAACGAGGAGTCTTTTGTGTTCTTCTTGTTCCCTTTCTTCCTTATTTTCTACAAGTGAAAGTAATCCTAGGTACACTGAAGCCTCTTGTACCTGCCTGAGGACAAATGGTAGGAAGGAATCAGGATAAGGAATAAAAGGCTGAGTAGTAAAGCAGGAACTTTCCACAAACCCTAATGTTCCAGCCAACAGGCTCATGCAAGCTACACATAGCAATGGTAATTTACTACATACTGAAAAATGAACTGCATGCCCCATCTTTCTCAAGGGTCCTGAGAAGCAATAATGGAAAAGATCATCACTCTCCAATCTGGGATTGTGAACTTCCCAACTACATGCAGTTGGTCATTGTGGGACAAAGAATAGGCTGGACCTGGCAGGGCTTCTCTAATGTTCCTTATTTTGTGGTGAATCAAAACTTTGAAGAGTAATAATTCTCCAGCCTGTACTTCACATTGTTTATATGGAATTCTGTGTTTCAGTAGATTTCTGACTTCATATTTCTGGTGTTAGCATATGGAACTAGGTAACAAATAACCTTTGGGGGAAGATGACACTTGTTTTTTGATTTGCATGGCAGGAAATCAGGAGCAGGAAGTATAAGTCTCACTCAGACTTGGTTGTGGTGTTCAGAATGCATGTAGGAGGGGGCATCATATGATTGCTTGTTCCTGTATGTAAATATATATATGTATATATTTCTCCACAAATATATGTTTATTTAAATTGTATATATTTCCAGTATATCTCTTGCTACATGAAACAAAGACATCTGATGTACCACAATACATGAGAGAGCAAATAAAGCTAAAGTATAATCATTCTGATGTCTCTGGTTTAGTTTTGGCATTGTTATATGTAAGAATTTTCTTTATATGTGGACATCTACATGTTTGTATATTAATATTGTAACTTGATAGTTTATTAATTTAATCTGTAGTTATGTCAAAGCGTATCTTCTGCCAGACAAGTCTCGCCAGAGCAAAAGGAAGACAAAAATCAAAAGTAATAGCACTGATCCAGAATTCAATGAAATGCTTAAGGTAAGTTAGGAACTGGGACAACACCATATACATTAATATTTCCTCTATGATCAAAATGAGAAATTCTTGGTTGACTGGTTTGTTAGTTTAAATTATTTATATGCTGCACAGTACCTGCATGATAAAGATGTCCTTGAGTTGGGCTGTGTTTCTGGTATCTCTCTGGACATGTCCAACTAGTTTTTGGGTTGTGCTTGTAAGTGATTTGCTCCTACTTTCCTCAGGGATTTCAGTCCACTTTGTCTAGATATTTTTGACTTTTCTGTTTCATCTAAAGTCATCCTCCCATATTTGTGTCATCCACAAAACCTTGTGTCATCCAGTTCCACCATCTCAGTCATTGATAAAAATTTTGAATTGCATAGGATCCAAAATAATCACTGATATTCCACTCAATTCTTCTGTCCAAGATGAAATGAGATTGTTCAGGCAACTGAGGCCATTTAACAGTAGCATCTTCTACCCTATATTTTAATTAATTAATTAATTAATTTAAAATTTTTGTGTCATCCAATTCCAAAATAACTGGGTGGTCTCTTTATTAAGAAATATATATATATCATGAGTCTATTAAGAAAAATATGTGTCATGAGGAACTCTGTCAAAAGCTTTGCTGAGAACCTGAGAACATTCCAGATCTACTGAGCTGCAATTCTATTATTAAAGAAGGAAATATGGTTCATTGGCACAATTTGTTTGCAACAAAACCATGCTTGCTCTTGTTAATTGCAGTATGCTTATTCAAGTGCTCATAGATATGTTCTTTATAATTTGTTTGAGACTTTGCCCAATGTCAACATTAAGTTGACACTTCCTTGTACTTCCTGGGCATCTGCTTCCCATTTATTTATTTAAAGGAGAATATTTGTAGGTCAGGGTTGAAATGAAGAGTTCTTGGTGCACTCTGAACTCAGAGAGCACCAAGGACTCCTCATCTATTTATTTATTTGCTTATCTTATTTATATACCTCCCATTCCCAAAGGCTGGAAAACTAACAGTCAAAAATCACTAAGGAAAAAAAAACCCACAAAAAACAAAAAAAATTTTTTTTAAAGGATTTTCAATTACATGATTCAAGAAAGATAAAAAATGTAAAACAGTTGTGGAATTTAAAGAACAACTTTCTTAATAACAACACTTTTACCAGTTTTGGAGAATTTAGTATCACCAGTTCATTTTCTTTCTATTTTAATTATGAATAATGTTTCAAAATCAATATGCGTACAGGAGGAGATGGAAGGACAGGTGTAAACAGGTTTTCAGGAGAATAATTACATTTTATGTATTTCCCTTCATAATTTGAATTGCACTAGTAGGAAGGGAAAATATTGCATCATTTATTATCTGTTAATACCTTTGGATATACTTAGAAGATCTATACTCTCACTTACTGGGTCCTAAAAATATTTTCCTTAAAAATATGCTCCTTTTCTATCACTCAATAGTATGTCATTAGCCACACGCAGCTTGAGACTCGCACTCTGCAACTTTCTGTCTGGCATTATGACAGATTTGGGCGTAACAGCTTTCTGGGAGAAGTAGAGATTCCCTTGGACTCATGGAACTTTGAAACTCAAGCTGATGAATGGTTCATGCTTCAGCCGAAGGTGAGAAGGTCCTGTTGGTTTAGAGAAGTGGCATGCAAATTTATATTGCAATCAAATTATCCACTAGTTGAAGGAAACTTAGCTGAAAGTTGGGTATATGCCACTGTATAGTGTTCTTTGAGTTTTGAAGTTAAAGCCATCACAACAATAAAACTACAGAGGAAGAATTGTATGTCCCACAAAGGCTGTATCACAAGTGGCTCTCAAACTCTAGATGCCAGTGTGTTTCCCTGTAGCTTGGACAGATCAGTTTGTTCCTGTCCAACAAACTGCAAGTTTTATCATTTCATTTGCAATCTAATATGTGAAATCTGTTCTTTTTACCTTCTGTGCTTCTGTAGTCCAAAAAGGAACGGATTATTCCTATATCACATATTTTTGTTTGTTACTGTTGAGAAAAGGCATCTATACGTAAAGACAAGTATATCTATTTTGGGGGAAGCCCTCTAACTCACTTATCACTCTCCCGATATTGTCAAAGTAATAATCCTAACAATTTTTTAGCACCTGGATTCATGAAGAATTTTGGCCACTCAAGTCAGATAAATACCATAGTGAGTTACATCTCTTTCTTGAAACATCTGGCCTTCTCCAAACATGTGGCTCCATGTGGTCGTGGTTTCATTTTTTTAAAAACTTGATACCATTGTATATTTAATTGTTCTAATATGTATTCACCTTTGTTCCTTTTATTGTTTTCCTCCCCACCCTAACATTTGAGTTATTTCTGATTTATCTTGTTTTGTTGAAATTTGAAAATACGTTAATGTGATAAATTTGATAGAAAAACAGGAATAGCAAAGCCATCGTGATATTATTGAAGTCTGCATAAAGCTTAGAGTTAAGTGGGAATTGTAGCGACAAAGTTTACTGTCAATTACATAAACATTAGAACAATGCTGAACGTCACAAGACCCCTTAGTTCCCATTTCTGTCCCTATTAAAGAACTAGCAGTGGATTTGCAGGAAAGCTCCACTTTTACTTGTCAGTGATCCAAGCTCTTTATTAAACTTAAACTTGCATTCCTATGGCCAGCAACAAAGAAAGCCTGTCTCACCAGCACCTTCCACATTGCAGAGGAAAAGTTGGTCGCTTTTGTCCTCTATCTAGTAGGCAAACAGAAGGCATGTGTTGGGCAGTTTGGAAGAAGCTTTGTGGTGGTTCAAGCTGTCTTAAGAGAGAGACAAAAACACCTAGGAACTGGACATTTTAAAGAAAACCCCTTCCTATTTCCTTGCTAGAAGCTTATAGAGCAGTGATGGCAAACCTTTTAGAGACCGAGTGCCCAAACTGCAACCCAAACCCCACTTATGCATCGTTGGGTGTCAGGTGGGTGCGGCCCGTTGGCTGGGTGTGGCCCATTGGCTGGGTGTTGCCAATTGGGTGGGTGTGGCCCATTGGGTGGGTGTGGCTGCGGTGGTAACGGCAGACTGGGTGGGACTAAAAAGTTCAATCAATCAATTCTAACTTTGCAAGATCTTTTTTTTTTCCCACAAGAAGTTGAAATTGACTGATTGATTGAACCTTTTTTTTTTGTACACGGCAGCGGAGGCTTAAAACGAAAAGGTTTTATAAAACCCAGCTGAAGGCCTAGGACTGGGGCGACAGCGCATGTGCCCACAGAGAGGGCTCTGCATGCCGCCTCTGGCACCCGTGCCATAGTTTCGCCACCACTGTTATAGAGTGTAGGAAGTAGAGGTTGGTCATTTGAAGCTCATCTTCATTTGTATACTTCTTTTTATGTATACCTCAAAATAATGTGCAACATGCTCTAAAAGTGAAGGCGAATATTTATTAAACAAGACTTTCTTCTATTTTACTTTCTTATTTTAGATGGAGATTTCCACTGATATTGGGCTGCAGTACAAAGGAGAATTAATTGTTGCTTTACGTTACACTCCACCTGAGAGGAACCTAACACTTCCCCTAGGAGAGATTCAAGGTAAAAGAAAAAAAAAAACTTTGATGCATCCAGAAATGTTTCCCTTGAATTGTTTTAATTCATGGTCTTCTGCAGACATTAGGAACAAAAACCCAGCACTACAAAACATTGAAATTGTTGCTGTTCAGTTGGTTTACTACTTTCTAAAAGAATTTGAAACCACAAATCATTTCATCTTCCTATATTATTCATCCTCAACACTATATCTTTTGGAAGCAAGGGCAGGATTTGTTAGCTGTAAATTCATTAGCTCTCTATTCAATAGCATTTTCTTATAATGTCATCTTGTTGAGTAACAAGACTTGACATTTTCATTCTATGCAAAATGCTGCAAAAGCTGCCAATTATTTCTACTCAAAATTCCCTTGTGTCTGTATATCTTGGGGTGACCAAGGTTGGTGTGATTGTCTGAATCCTGAGAACAACTGATAATTGGTCAGCTGTGCCCACCCAAATTCAGCAGAGGCTAGAGAAACAGGGAGAAGGTTTCTGAAATTCAAAGGCAATCTACTTTTCAAGACTCCTGTCCACCAGAAAACTATTTTTAATGATGAGTAATTGGTGTTTAAGAGGCAGTTTGGTGTAGTGGTTAAAGCTTTAGGCTAGAAACTGGGAAATCATGAGTTCTGCTTTAGACTCAAAGCTCACTGGGTGACTTTGGACCAGTTACTTTCTCTCAACCCTAGGAAGGGGGCAGTGGCAAACCATAAACATAGATTTTCATATTTTTAGTTGTACTCTGCCCAGAGTTGCTCTGTGAGTGAATTGGGCAATCTCTAAATTTATATGTATAAATTTATAAATATATATAAATTTAGAGATTGCCCAATATAAATCAATCAATCAATCAATATAAATGACTTCTGA